CCCTCCTCACTAGGTTTGCAAGCCTGCCCGCAAAGATGCTCTTTCCTCTCTGAGTTAGGTGGATCCCATCTCTTCCTAACAATCCTTGTTCCCAGAATTGAGTCCCATGGTTGAAGAAACCAAAGCCCTCTCTCCGACACCACCTGCATAACCATGCATTTACTCCCTCAATTCGACGATCGCTACCTGGACCTTTTCCTTCAACCGTAAGGATGGATGAGAACACCACTTGCGCTTCAAATTCCTTGATCCTTCTTTCCAGCACTACATAATCTGCTGTGACCCGCTCAAGGTCATTCTTGGCCATATCGTTAGTTCCTACATGGAGAAGAAGGAAGGGGTAGCAATCTGAAGGTTTAATCACTTTCGGGAGACTCTCCGTCATATTCTGAATGCGAGCTCCCGGTAAGCAGCACACTTCTTGAGATTGCAGGTCTGGATGAAGGATTACTCAGTCCCTCTTAAGAGGGAGTCCCCGACCACCACCACCCGTCATCTTTTGGGGGAGGTGTCGTGGAACCCCCATCCCTAGGACTACGCATCCCATGCCTTCCGGTAGATTGTGTTCCCTTCTGATTTCTTCCCTGAGAAGTCCCTGCCTGTGGAGAGAGCCTGAAAGGTGGTTACTTTCCTCTGCGGGAATGGGGGATACCTGAGTTTTCCTCCTTCTTCTAGAGCTTACATGCTGCCTTGTCCTGTACTACCCTCACTGGCTCTTCAGCCTGCTGTGCCTGCAGGATCAAATGCTGCTGTCTATCGAGGAAGCCTTCATCTTCTCTGATGGAACGTAGGGTCAATACTTGGGCCTCAAGTCCTCTAATGTTTTCTTCCAAAATGGCGACCAGATTGCACTTAGTGCAGATGAAATCTGTTCTTTCTTCTGGGAGAAAGACAAACATGGCACATGCTGTGCAGGTAACAACAGCAGACCTATCACTATCCATACTTGCCTGCCTTTGGAGAGATTCCTCAGTTGTTATTAAATGCCTCCTTGAAGGGCAGGAGTGTAGTGAAAAGATTTTAAAGAATTGCAGGTGTATCTCACTCCCTTCCAACTCCCTCTCCAAACTCCCTGTTAGTAGCCCCTGTTCACAAGCTCCCTTCAGAGCTGCTGGGCACCCCATTAAGTAAAATGTGGGTGCTCAACAAGAGACATCTCATAGGACTGAGCTGCCTGTGAGAAAGCATTCTGTTTTCATGCAACTTGCAAACAGACTGAATGAAGCTGATCAGTCCTCAGGTGCCTCCAGGCATGAGCAGTTGACTGAGGTCTAGGATTGCCAGGTGTCCGGTATTTTCACCTCCTGTCCGGTAAAAAAAGTCAGAAAATACTGGACACCTATAATGTCCAGTATTTTCAGATTTTTTTCCCCTGTCAAGAGGCACCTGGCAACCCTACCACACTCAGCAACCAGTCTCAGCCCCCAGCTTCCCCCTTTTGCTCTCCCCCCCATTTAGCCCCCTCAAACCTCCCTCCTTCCCACTTACCTGGTTCCATTGGGGAGCTCTCTTCCCGCAGAGTAAGAAAACAAGATAGCCGCCAGCAAAAAAAGACCCCAAAGGCCTTAAACAGGCCATGCTGGTTTTTTTGTTTTGCTTAATAACTGGTGTGGTCCTTTTTTTTCCCCCTCAACAACTCTGGTCACCCCCCTTTTTTTTCCTCAACAGTGGGGTTTTTTTTGAGGGGGGGTGTTTGGTATTTTTGGTTAAACCATCTGGCAACCCTACTAAGATCAAACAACTCTAGAATGATTATGGTAGCTAAGGATCTGAACCACTAGCTGCTTCAGTCGTTCAGATAATTGCAATTACATAAGAATTACCCTCCCCCCTATAGTAAGTCAGGGTACCCCAAATGGTCAGAGGATCAAATTGACTTCACTGGCTCTAAAGCACAGCTAACACCTGATCAGATCTAAGCTACTATTACTGGTGAGCCTCAAACAAGCAACTTCTATTCACCTGTCAAAACAGGACCAATATAAGCCAAGTTACAGTGGGCTGAGTTCTCTCTTTGCATTACTGATATACATTTGTTTGCAAATCAGATGCAGGCCATTACTCCCAGCAAGATGAGACTAGGGGTGTCACGAAGTGTAGGCACTTCTTTTCTGTCTTCTTCCACACAGCACAGCCTTAGTCACAGTCCATACGCAAAGCCCTTTCAGGAATGGAACAATGAGAAAAACTGAAGCGCTTCCAGCATTCATAAAATGGGTGAATAAGGAAAATGACTAAATTAGACCCCTCGCTGCCAGGGATTTCCTGGTTCTGGGATGTTCTGGTTCAACAAACAATGTTCTATGAGATCTTAAATGAAAATCAGGGTCACACTGGTTGTTAATATCATTGGGAAATTAGGGCTGTAAAATCTTGTTTAACCTGTTAAATGGTATGGCCCCGTTTATGTTTAAATGGTTAATTGCTTCAATGGAGCTAGGTAAGGGGTCCACTCCATCCCAGCTGGGCCAGGCTGCTCCAGCTCCCATCGGCTAACCATTCACATCCCTAAGGGAAATATATGTATAGCTACGATAAGGAGTTATGTGGGATGTATACAGAAAATACGTTTTTAGATTCAGAATCACAGCCAAGGTGGAGAAATGGATTTCCTGGAAGGTGAGGAATGTTTATTCACCTGGATCTCTGTCAGATGAAAGCTAAGACAATGGGCATCCTTTCCATAGGAATGTATGGAATTAATGTGAAGTCAACAGGGCAGCACTGACACAGGAAAACCAGCCACTGGGGTGGGGCTTATATAGTACTGTCTGAGTTGATAATCTGGGGGCAGAGGTGAGGGAATAGAAGTCGGAAGAAAGGAAGTCTTCCTCTCATAATGACCCAGACTGGAAGCAGTCACAGAGATGAGTACTGGGTCTGTTTGCCTGTAACAGACAAATGGGGGGAAAAGTATAGTCTTTTACAAGCCATATCAAGGCAAGAAAAATGGGAACATTTCAAGCTGTAAAGCCTGATCCAGTTTCATTTTCACCCTCTAGTAGTTCCACTGGAAAAGGTAACAGGACAAGTTTAAAATGTGTGATGAGGTTGAAGGTTGCTTTCAACTGCGTACCCATCCATTGCTCAGCGCATGAGTTAACCCAATCAACTCCCACCTGGGCAAAGCAATAAAAAACAAGGGTACAAACAGAAATGGGAAGAGGATTGTACATCTCATTAGAAACAGAAGAACTGGAAGTTCCCATGAAGGAGACAGAAACATCCATAAAATGAGAGACGGATCTTTATCTGTCTGCCTGAGTAGTTACCTTTTCCTTGCCTAAAATTCCCCCTGTAATCTACATTTGATGCTTTACATTTCATTTCCTGTCCTAAATTGCTGTGCAGCACCGCTGGGCCATGTGGGCCATGTTAAACAGCTGCCATGGGCATGTTGCAATTCTCATATAAGCCCTGATTCTCCATGGCTTTGTCCCTTGTATAGATCTTTACACTTGTGCAAAGGGAGCATACGATGCAACCAACCCATTCCCTCCCTTTTCACAAAAGCAGGTTCTGCAGGGTAGTGGTGAATCAGAGCCTGTCATTTCGAAGGCTCTTTGTGATATGTAGGAAGAACTGGGTGGAACACCTCAGCTAATTCTTCCTGCTGCCAGCCCCAATGCCCGGAGAGAGTCCTCTGCCACCACACACAATAAGGAGCATTAAGGAATGTTCTGCACATTGGCATTCAAGCCCAACCCACTAGGTACATACTGAAGTGTGTGCACAGCAACACACTTTTTAATTGCAGAGAAAAGAATAAGGGCATATTTCAGCATCTGTCCAGGGCTAGGGGGCATGGTAGAGAAGGACTGAGAATGACAAGAACAATTTGTCCTGTTTACTGCTATTACCCAGGTAAAACACCCTTGAGTAAATCCCTCCTCAGAAGTCACCTCTTCTTTTCCAGCTCTCCCCTGAAGCCACCAACTGATTAATAACCTTCCATTCTGGCTCCCGCCCTCAGTAACCAAAGGCAGCCAGCAGCTGTGCAGGCACCATCAGCAAGGCATAAAAAAAGTCTGTTTTAAACCAACCAAAAGCCAGGCAGTGAGTATTTGCAGCCAGTGAATGAAAATTTCCCTAGCGATGTGAGCATCACTGCACAGCGCCCAGCCTTGGCAGCCAGCACTCTGTGGTGCTGGTGGAGCTATTCTTGCTTTTACATCCTCCCTAGCCAGGCAGCCGGCATCTTCCTCTCATATAATGAAACAGAGTGTGGGCTCAAGCACTTCCTCTCTGCTCAGAGCGACCATATCTCCCTATGCTGAACACAGGTCACCTCAAAGTTACATGCATTCAAGCAAGTTTAATGGCAATCAGAATGAACTATGCAGTGCAAACATTCAATTTAACATTAAGTTGACTTGTCTGACCCCTGTTTAAAAGAAAAACAGTAGCTAGGTTCTTTTTATTTATCTCATCTGTAAGACTTCAGGGTTCACACAGAGAGGGAGGATGCACTCACCCCTACCCTCCCACACGTGCACATTGGGAGGGGTAACACACCCGTACCCCAATCTCACACTCCTCTCTCTGTTCCTGGCTGAGCCCCTTTGGCTGGGCCCAACTCACTCGGTACCTGGTGCTGCATCTGGGGGGGAGGGCGGAGGGCTGGTCACATGCTCCCCCAGATTTCTGCCAGGGCTCACACCAGACTGTTCTCAGTGGTAACCTTTCAGCACTAAGCATGAGGGCAGGGACGGGAGCCGCTTCTAGCCACCCAGTGTGGAAAGGCAGCTAGCACCTCTGGGCTGACATTGACTGTAACAGGAGGCTACTGGGTTCACAGGCAGCAGGACCCAGGGAGCCTGACTGCTCGGGCTTCTGTGGGCAGAGAGGTGGCTCAGCCAGGAGAGGGTGGCTAGGGGACAGAGCAGCTCTGTACTCCCGGGGGGGCAAGCGCCAAGGCAATGGGGAAGGGGCAGGAGACGAGGGTACCTCAGGAATATTAGTGAACCACACCAATCCACAGGCAGGCAGATACCACTTACCCACTTAGAGGTCTTGTTTTCCTAATTTCAAAGAACTGAGTTCCTGTGTGATTGTATCTGGATTTTGCAATTTAAAGTAAAGTAACTTGAAGAAAGATTCAAGACAAATGAATAAAGCTCACTAGGGTGATGGAAAAACTTTTCAAGTCTCTAAGGGGTAGCTGTGTTAGTCCATAACTGAAAAATAAATAAAAAACAATGTACTGAGAGTGAAAAAAGTTTTTCACAAGTTTGTAATCAAGGTCTGAACAAAGAACTGACCTGGATTGGCTGCTACATTCCACCCCCTAATGACGCAAAAGCTGAGCACCGGATACTTACTCACTCTCTCATTTAGCACAGACACTCTAAGGGTATGTCTATACTGCCACCCTAGTTCGAACTAGGGTGGCTAATGTAGGCATTCGAACTTGCAAATGAAGCCCAGGATTTAAATATCCCGGGTTTCATTTGCATGTTTCCGGGCGCCGCCATTTTTAAATGCCCCGTAATTTGAACTATGTAGTTTAAATGCCCCGTAGTTTGCGGCTACATGCGGCACGGACTAGGTAGTTCAAATTAAAGCTCCTAATTCGAACTACCGTTATTCCTCCTGCAAGGAGGTTTAATGGTAGTTCAAATTAGAAGCTTTAATTCGAACTATCTAGTCCGTGCCGCGTGTAGCCGCGGGCAGGTAGTTTGAACTACGGGGCATTTAAAAATGGCGGTGCCCAGGAACATGCAAATGAAGCCCGGGATATTTAAATCCTGGGCTTCATTTGCAAGTTCGAATGCCTACATTAGCCACCCTAGTTCGAACTAGGGTGGCAGTATAGACATACCCTTAGAGTGTCTGTGCTAAATGAGAGAGTGAGTAAGTATCCGGTGCTCAGCTTTTGCGTCATTAGGGGGTGGAATGTAGCAGCCAATCCAGGTCAGTTCTTTGTTCAGACCTTGATTACAAACTTGTGAAAAACTTTTTTCACTCTCAGTCATAATTTCCACTGGAAGCATAAAGCAGGTACTAAAAAGCCACCAATTCTCTATTTCTGTTTTCTCAACTGAAGAGATGCAAGTAAAAGAGGTAATTAAATCTGATCCAATAACTAAATGCTACAAGAGAAAATTATGAATTTTCTGGCCATCTGGGACTCCTCTCCTGTTAGTTCAGAGACAGGGCGAAGGAAGAATCATAATAGAAAAGAGTCTACCTTGTTCATTGCTTCAAAGTGCTCAACCCCCCTTTCATGCAAAAAAGAATCACACTATTCATACAGGTTTTCCTATGGGCAATATGTGGCTGATCATTTCCAAATATAAACAGATGTAAAACATTCACTGCCACAGCAAGACAAAAAGAACATCTGTTAACAATATTCAGTGTGGAAGGAGCCACCTGTGCAGACCACACATGACACTAACAGAAAACAAAAGTGGCAGGGCCATTTCACTGGCTGCACCTCTGACCCTCAGCACCAAGGCCTGAATTTTCAGAACTGAGCACCCAGCAGCTCCCACTGCCTGCAGTTGGCATTGTGGTGCTCAGCACTTGTGAAAAATCAAGCCTGACAAACATGGGTGGTGGGTAACCCCATGGCTGGGCAGGCAAGCTCCCCATGCCCCGCCCCTTCCACCAGTACCATTTAGTACCGCACTTGTTTTGCCTACACAAAACAGAAATTTCAAAGTGAAACTGTGGCATGATGGCCCTCAGTGAGAAACCAAAATGCTACATTTGAAGCCCACCAGGCTTTGAAGCCTAATTAGGTCTGGCTCCAAACGTTGAGTTCTCTAACACCTATCAAGCCGAGTGGGGTATGCCTTTAAAATTCCAAGATCCCGCGGGTGCAGTTCATAGTGTGACAGAGCTCACTGTGTCTGAGGAGCAATCATGCACCAAGGAGTAAAGAAATTCCATGACTAACCCTAGCCTAGGGGATGTGCCCTCTGAAGAGCAGGTCAGCCTCTCAGGTCCAGATGCTGCCGTAACTTCCGCTGGTGCTTTGATCTTTCTGGGCAACCAGACCTTTTCCAAGTGCCTGGTTTCTCTAATGCTCACTCTCCTTGGTTTCTCTTTCCACGGCCTTTCCGCCAAATAAAGAGCCAAAAACAAGTTACTGGAGCAGAGAAATAACTGGCAAATGGAGCAAGATGAGAGGCTAAATTAATGTGCTGGCTTGTGACTGTTCATTCCATCAACCTGCCCATGTGCAGTGGAAATAATCAACATTTAGCAGCGGGGAGGAAAGAGGAAAAAGTGCAAATAAAGTTCAGATTAAACTCACAAATGCCAAGAAATTGAGAAGTGCCTCTCCCATAACATCAAGCTCTACCCCAGGGCATGCTCACAAAAGTGCAGGTCTCACTCCAGGGGCTTCTTTTGAGAGATCGGGAGGGCCAGGTCTCCATCTCCATTCATGGCACTTTGCTTCCCAGTGGGGAGAGCAGTAGCAAAAGTCCCCAAGCAGAAATGCCTCAGTGGACTCTGGCAATGGGTGTTGCTTAGTGGCTTAAGATGAGAGGAGAAGGAGGCCTCTTGTATATCCCTGATCATGCAGCTGAGCAAGGACAACCCACTTCCTGGCCGTGGGGCAACCAATGCCTCTTAGGGATGTTAAATATTGGTTAACTGAATAGTCTAGTAACCTTATGAAATGTTATCAGTCAGTCAACTATTCTGTAGTCCCTGGGGGTGGGGCCAACAGCCAGTGTATCAGAGGCAGCAGTGCGGGGTACCCGACAAGAGCTGGACTGCGAGGGGAGCCAGTTTAAAAATCAGCTCCCCTCATAGACCGGCTGCCTGTCGCCCTGTGCTGCTGCTTCTGAGAAAGAGAGGCCGCAGCGCGGGGCGGCAGCTGTTCCTGTCTGAGGCGGGTCTGAGCTCCTGGACCTGCACAAGCTGGAACTGAGCTGGGCTGCCTGCCCACCCGGATCTTAATACACTTGAAATGCAGAGCTGAAACAGGGGTAGGTACCGGACCCAGCGTCAGCCAGGACTGAGCCGGGCTGCCTGCCCCCCCAGCTCCTAATACACTTTAGACGCAGAACCGCAGCCAGAGTAGGTCCCGAACCCATAGCAAGCCAGGACTAAGCCAGGCTGCCAGTCAACCTGCTAAAAAATGTACTAGCAGGGAGTGGGGGGAAGAGAGGTGCTGGCACTGGGAGCCATTTACTCAGGCACTTTAAAGCCTTCAACTTGCTGTGCTTAGTGGGGTGTGCGTGTGTGTTTTCACAATCCTGAATGAGGTTACAGCACTAAACCCGCCGACAAGGAGAAGTAAAGGGGGCAGTTTTTCCTGGGACTTGGTGATTCTAAAGAGCCTGGGGCTCCATAGCAGCAGCAGCCAGAGCCCCAGGGCTCTTTAGATGGCCTTGAAGACCATCATGAGGAACTCAGTGCATAGATGGTCTGACAGATCTCCACACGTGCTAGCAGAGTCAAAGTTATTTCCCTCCTGAATTATCTTCTGCGTTGTGCTTCAGTAAGTTACTCCCGTCGGTTCATTAACTGCTCAGTGCAGTGTAATGACTCTGCCTCCTATCTTAACACCAGATTCAAGGATACTGCAGCATCTTCATGTAATTCTGTATTGCTTGAAGCCATTCTGGGATAGACATGGAGACCTTATAGTTTGGCACTGGTGGCACTGAAGGCTGGAAACAAACAAAACAAAACAACAACAACAAGGATTAGATAGGTCATTCCTTCCATGACAGCAGGTAAAACAATGCAGCTCTCTAGGCAGGTGCAAAAAGGGATACAGTTCAGAGCCCAAAAGTGAAAACCCCATCTGAAAGCAATCAGTCCCAGGAAAGTCAGAACAGATTCTAATCTCAATTACAATGTGAACTATACATTTGCTGCATCTACCCCAACTGACTGACATCAGAGTATGCCCTGGTGGGACCACTGGCATGAGGAACAGGCAGCCTTTAAACAGATTGAGAGATCCTGGCACAGAAACCAAAAGTTAGTGTTTTAAGACAAGAAAAACCACATTAGTTTAGATTAAAGAAATCCCAGTGTTGGATTGGTTCCAAACTCTTCAGAGTATTAACTTCAATTTTAGTCTCTAGTTTTATCGAGAGAGAGAGATGAATGGAGACCAACAGCAACTTTGACAATACAGTACACACTTTCTCATCTGTGGGGGTGGGACAGTGATCATTACTGGAGTGCAGCGCTGGACACTGAGACTGTGTCTACTAGGGATGTAAAATCCTATTTTTAATTGGTTAACTGCTTAAGCATAGCGTTTAACCAGTTAATTGATTAAAGGGGAGGAGAGGCAGGGGGGCTGCTCTAGCCTGCTGGGTTGAAGCAGCCTCCCTGCCTGATCTGGCCTCACTGGAGTGGTTCCCCCCGGCCGGCCATGACAAGGGGGTTCGCCCCCCGGCCCGTGCCATGAACAGGGGCTGCTCTAGCATAGCCAAAGCAGCCCCTGCTTGCAACCCCTCCGGCCTGAAGCAGATAGGGGCACTCCATCTAGAGTGCCCATCTCTGTGGCAGACCCCGTGGAGCTGGAGCAGCCCCTTGCCTGTGGCATGTGGGAAGCTGCTCCAGCCCTCCCCAGTTAATGGAACTGGTAAGCAGCACCGGCCAGTTAACCTGTCACATTGCTCATGTCTACACTTGCACTCGCTCAACAAAGTATTTCTCATTCGGGGCGTTTAAAGCACCTTCTCTTCCACCTCTCCTCCCCGGGAAGAACGAAGCTCGGCAGCAGCCAGTGCCCATGTGAATCCTGCCTTGTTGGCAGCAGCGCTCGCTTGCCGGCAAAATGAAACCTGCTCAGGGATGTACTTTGTCAGCAAAAGTGCCACACACCAGTGTTCACATTCACTAATGTCTAGCGACAGGACTCGTGCTGCTGGAAGCTGCATAGAGCAGTCGCACCCTGAGCCCACTGGCAAGGGCACAGTTCATGGACTCCTTGGGCAGCCGCAGCTCAGCTCTCCTCATACTGTCAAGCCTCCCTGGAGCGGTCACAGGGGTGCTGTTCTCTCGAGGGGAGTCCAGCCCCACCACACCTCTGACTATTTAGGTGCCTCCTTGCAGAGGCTGTGGGGAGAAGCATCAGGTGATAGCTTGAAGGTCATTTGGGGCTGGATTTTGAAAGTCAGATGGAGTTAAGAACTTCTTGTAAATTCCACTAAGCACTTAAATAGATTTTAAAATCTATCCCCCAATTCATGGGAGCTCCCAGTGCAGCACAGGCCTGTAAGCGCTGGGCTGGGCTAAAGGGCATGGCTAATACCCTTGTGGGGACTCACTTTTATTTTGAAGCAATAGTGCTGAAGCCATCAAGAAAGGAACTGGTGGCTGAAGAGCTTTGGTCTGGTTGGAGAGCTCACCAGTTTACAATAACCTAATCCTGAGTGGAGCTTTCAAGTGCCCGTTGTCCTCCCTGGCTCACAGGGGGCACTCAGCCATGTACTGATTCAAGCCTTTGGACAGGCCCATCTTCAAGGTCAGTTCTAGCTTCATGCCTGCTTAAAACCAACTTCTCTGAATCAAACAACGTTGTATTAATGCTCTCAGGAGACACACCTCTGTCTGCCCATCACTGCCAGGCTAGGACTTCCCCAGGATATTTACTGAAACTGTTTCTGTGCCAGCGATAAGGCTCATTATTTTACACATCAGTCTTCATCCTTTTGAGCGGATGATTCATGAATTAACATGACACAAAAAATGGAAAAAAAGTCATAACCTGAATAACCACTGCAGAAGGTGGAAGCTAGACCCCTACACTACTGACACATCAACTTATTAACCACAAAGCACTCACATTACAACATCCACTTCAAGGGGAGAGGTTTATTTAAAAAACTAAACCTGGTTTTTAAAAGTGCCTAGGGATTCTGAGGAGTCAAAAATGGAGTGCTTGCTTGAGACACCTTGAGGCCTGGTTTTCATATAGCGGGCAATCAGCACTTCCTGGAAAAAAACAGGTCCCTTTAAGACTTGCAAGCTGAGCACCCAACCATACATTTTGAATGTGTAGGTCTTGGAGCCCAATTTTGACATCAGATTCATGATGCAATTCCACGGGAGAAACAAGTGATGAGTGCACCGTGGACTGGAGTCACTTGGGAACTGCATCTAAGTATCTGAAGGCAGAATTGGCCTTTACCACCTTATACCTTGTGATCTTAGAATAGTTACAGACTGTTTCCCGAACACCTGAAAATCCCTTCAATAAAACCCTATCCTGCAGTTGTGCCAATTCCAATCTGAACTCCAGTTTATCATTTTAAACCAGTTTGAAATGCAACACTAAATAAGTAACAAGTGCAACTATTATAAGCCTAGTCTCAGGTAGACAATGTGTATTCTTAACAATTGAATTAATTCAAACTGAGCAATCACACATCCATGGGTTGGGTATCAGCAGAGCAACCTTCAGAGAAAGCGAGCAAAATCCTGACTCTCTGGATGCCAATAACAAAACAACGATTAGTTTCAATAGGAGGACCAAGGTCCTTAGGAGACTCACAAAGGTTAGGCCCAACCTGTAGGTTTTAGACAATTGTTACAGGTTGTGCCTCTGGTAGGACCACAGATGTCCCTAGACCACAGAGCTCAGGTACAGGCAGTCCCCGGGTTACGTACAAGATAGGGACTGTAGGTTTGTTCTTAAGTTGAATTTGTATGTAAGTCGGAACTGGCTCCAGATTCAGCCGCTGCTGCTGAAACTGACCAGGGGCTGACTACAGGAAGCTGGAGGCAGAATTGCTCTGCCCCCAGCT